ATTAAATAAAATTTACAATATATATATATAAAAAAGATTTGAAATTTTTTGTATGCACATATGTTACATTATTTTTTTTTTTAAATTCACATAAGTTATATCAAAAATATTAAAACTTAACATTTAAAATAAAATTTGTAGTAAAACTTGTAGCAACATAACTCTTTAATACAATGCTAAAATTTGTGTAATATATCTTTCAGATTTATACCGCGATATTCAAGTGAGATTTTCAAGGAAATCTTTCATCAACATTCCATTGAGAATGGAATTTCATAGATTTACACAATCTTATTTTAATTTCAAATTTGCGATAAAAGATGAAAATAGATATAAAATACTACATACCCGACATGTATAGGGTGCCTGTTGATATCTACATTGTCTGGCTTAAGATTGGCCGCGTTCGTACGTTGATAATTCTCTTTCGTAATCATTTCTGTTATGGTTGGCGCTAGAGAATACATATATTATCATGTTAAATTTATTTTCCGAGAACAATCTAATCCGATAAACACGGTGTTTTTCAAATCGCGTCACAGCATGTCTTAAACTATAGAATTTATATAGCTTATATTTTACTTTTTTGTGTAATCTAACAAAATAGTTATGTAATTATCACCAAAATTGTATAAATAATAGAGATTAAATAGGTTTTGTATAAAAAATTCTATCATGTATCTAAATATGAAAAAATTTCATCTATGTTTAATTTCTCTAATACAATCGTCTGTAAATTAATGCAAAAATTTTGAAAGCAAAAGAACAACGATATAAAAATGTCTTTTTTCAATAAAAATATTAAAATGCATGAAACTGCGCGCTTCCGGTATATTTACGTACCTCCGGAATGTCGATTATCTCTTTCATCGTCCGTCACGTTCACGCGCATCGAGTCATCCCCCATGGATTTCATGTCGTCAACAGTCATGTAGCGGTACTGCTGTTGGTCGCTCAGCATTGGATCTTCACCTGTGATAAATATTAGACGAATAAAATAAGCGAAGATAGCAACGAGTATGCGCGTAAATTGGCGAGAGAAGTTGTATTCTCTAGAGTATCATCGAGTTTAGATGAATGCGCGATACAACATATGTAAACGACGCAAAATATTCACTACAGAAGTATGCGTAATACACAAGTGAGAATAAGTATGTGAGCCTGCAAATAAAGAAGAAATCATTGCCAAGTCAACATTGCAATCAAGCTGAAGAAGCGAAGTTCGTATTGATGTACTGTAAGACACGCAACTTGTCCAGCTAATAATGAACGATTTAGAGTTTCCGCTAAACAAAACTATATATAATTATCGCTGAAAAGATTTAGCTCTATTGCCTTCATCTCTTAACGCTCGCGAGTAATAAGACAAAGCGTACGAAATGGGAACGTCACCGAATGGCAGATTAAATATATCCTGTGCCATATGGTCTAAATTATTTCAATAATCTTTTCGAGTGTTTTAAATTGCAGACATCACTCATTAATCCGAGAACAAAAACAAAACTGCAACGCAATTGTAACAGTTATTTCTAATCCTATGAGAGATTTTCTAAGACACACAATGTTACTTTTTCAGAGATTTAATTCTAGTAATCTTTAGCCGTTTTCATATACGATAAAAATTGTATTGTGTAAAATTTAATAGTAATCCTTCTCTTTTCTTTCTCTAATTTATAACTTTAAATATGCAATCATATCTAAAGTCAATTAAATTTTTTTTCTTATCGATTTAATTCACTTTTTAACTTTATATATCAAATATTTCTTTTAAAATTCTACGTAATATTATATTTTAAATATATAAAATTCCTTTAACATGTATTTGACACATTTAATAAAATGCTCAACAGATCTACCATTTTTTACCAATTTTATTTAAGAAAATTTTAAATATTACAGCATCGTTTATCAACAACAGGATAAACGTCGTTAAATCACGTCATACCTTATGTCAATTGGGGTCACGGTTGGATACATCCGACACCCAGGAGATGCCGACGTGTACGAACCGTATCACTTTTTTTATACGACTGAGAGCAACTTGCTTTGCGATCCAGCGTTATCAGATATTTCAAGAATGTAGGCTACAATTATCTAATAAACGGTCAGCCTACAAATTTGCCTCCCACATCTCTCTATCGTACCGTTAGCATGATCATAAATTAACTCCATAGTTTAATACTGATCGAGATTGTTTTTAGTTGGAATAAAAAGATATCTTGCATTAATTATTGCATTAATGTGACAAAAATTATTCTGATATCAATAAGATTTTTTTTATCTTAATAAATAAATATGTATAAATATTTTTCATAAATAAATAAGTTATAAATAAATTATATATTACATAAAAAACAGATTTTTCCTCAGTAATAATGTAAAATGTGCCATAATTAATACTTAATATTAAAATACATACTTAAATTCCTTAATTAATATAATTACTTTCAATCGATGTAACTATTTCATAAATTACTGTCAAGCAATTCAAATCTCATTCGATATCACTGTTTCTCAGTGGAATGTAACAGATTGGTATGTGTGTGTATGTATAATGCGAATATCTTTGGCACGTCGACGTCTGCGTTCTCGAGGATACTCTTGATCTACATTTCACGACGGTTTCGGCGCAGTTCTAGGAAGATCGAGTGCCGTTACCCCATTCTCTTATGGTTTGCCTATAGTGACGTCACGCGCTATCCGCGGAACTCGCAGTGTTGCCCGTTAATATCTAAAATTAATGTAAACATTTGCAAACGCGGACTGGCTATATGATACTCCTGCAGGAAATTGTAATGTAGAAGTGCTAATTTTAACGATGTTCAAGGACACCTTGAGTCGAAGAGTCACGGCGATTTCGCGCTCTACCCGTATCTCTTCCTCTTCTCGTACTCTAAAAGACACCGCTTCTACCTACGCGATCTCATAGACAATGACCTATATATTTTCCGCTTCAAACTACCAATTAGCGAAAAGACAAGCTATACAATAATCATGTCAAATCTCATTTAAGCGCAGTTAAAACGTTGACGCGTGCAGCGTCATGTACCAGAATAGTGCTAATCGTAATCGGAGAGAAACAGAAAGAGAGAGAGAGAGAGAGAGACTATGTTTCTTACAAACATGACGACTAATCGGATCGGCGCGTCGTCAATGAGAGATTCAATAACAAGTTCGGGGACGAAACCGGCGCGCCGGAAAAATCTTTGTCTTCAATCGCGTAACGCAAACTTTTTATACACGCGACATAATATCGTTATTTCGTGCACGCGACATCTCGATCGTATGTGTTATTAGCCTGTTTATGATCAAAATGTCGAAAATTTGTTCGTAATAATCCCTTTTGAACTAAGTAATTATCAGTGTATAACGTCTGTGTTTTGCTCATATCGCAGACAAGCAAGAATAAATAAACTTACGAAATCTTACGAAATAAGTTACATGCATCAGCCGCATGATTCATTTTAGACTTATACAAGATTTAATTTAATTAATCTTGAGTGGATCAAGACTGCCGTTTTACGAGTTAAATGTTTTGCATGACGTCATTTATATGATCAAACATAAGAAGAAAAAAGAGCGACAGAAAAATACAGAGAGAGAGAAAGAAGTGGAAAATCTTATGCAATCATCAAGTATAACATATTTACAGCTTTATTAGAATTAACGAAGCGTTTATTAACGCCTTAAAGCTATTAAAACAGATTAACGAAATATTTTCTCGCGCAATGGCGTAATGTTTATTATTGCCGAAGTTCGTTTACCAGACAGCCGACCCAGTTGCTCGTCGCAAGAGCAACAGCAATTAACCCGACTACGATACTCGGCGACTTTATCGCGGCCGTATACTTCGGTTGCGTGCGTAGGCGCTAAAAATACACCGGAAGAGAGCCGAAAGTCAGGGATCTATTGAGTCGCGGATGCTTCTCTTTTGACGTAAGATCCGGCGTCCTTGATCGGCACGCCGATGCAATATCATTGTTTACTCCCTTATGTCATTAATGGCTTGTAATAGTAGTAGTGTAGTAATATATCACCAAGTCATATTTCTCAGGCCGCTCTTGATTAATCGCGCGCGTTTTTCGCGACTGGAATACATATACGTAATCCCCGGAACCGTATCATCCGGCATCGCTCTGGATTTGCTCAGAAAGACAATGAGAGTTGAAGTATACCTGATCCCGTTGCACGATAAAAATGCGCGTCCGCGATTCGCCAACTTCGGGCGGACGACGGTCGTGTCGGACGATGCGTTTTCCGTGGATGCAACGTGCTGCACTGAGCGCGCAACGCGGCGCGGCGAAACGCATGCTATACGCGTAATAATGTTTTTATGCGAGAGTTTCTTTCTCTCTCTCTCTCTCTCTCTCTCTCTGTTTCTCTTTCTCGCGACTGGCGATATCTCGCGATATAAAATCGAATCTTCGTGGCTGCCTTGGCGCGTTCGTTGTTTACTCGCGACGCGTAATCGTACACAAATTATGCTTCCATTTGAAATATTCGAAGATGATCGAAGGTCTCTTGAATTTGCATTATCCATACAATGAGAATGAGTACAAATAAAAACCAAGTTATTATTCACGCACACAAATGTGCTATGACTTTAAGAAAATATAGACTTATACGCAGATAATGCGGCAATTAAAGTAATAAAGCGCGTCGAGTTTTAATCAGTGCCACAAGTAATTTTTACGTCGCTACAGAACAGTTTCTGTTTTTCATTAGCAAACGTAAAATTGTTTCGGACAGGCATCTCGCATCGTACAGAAATACACACGAATCCAAACAACAGTGCCATTCAGTGCTAAATGCGCGCTGAGAACGTTTCTCGAAATCAGGATTGATTCTAAGATTTGCGATGTGTGCCCTAAATTTAAGATTATTGTGTAAAATTATATAAATTTCAGCCAATAATATTTAAATATAATTTTAATTTTTCAATGCTTATAAAAAAATCGCTGCTGCAAAAAATTGATATAAATTACCGCATTATTAAAAATGATTTTTCTCAGATTTTTTCTCAGTATATTTACTCTTTTTAATTTTTGCGGGTCTTTATTACAAAAACGTGGATTCTAGAGAGTTAAAGAAAATAATTTAATACTTTTTCTGGATTAATTCGAATCACAATCTTCAATTCTTAATACGATGCAACATTCTATGGATGAGATCGATTCTTCAAATTCTTCGGAACAAGCATCTCATTCTCGCGTAAGACACGACCTCGATTTCGCTCCGATATTTGTGTACGCACCACGCCCAAGGATATCCGTCATTTACTACGACCACGATGCGCCCTCGATCTAGACAATGAGCCATAGAGCACGAGCGTTTAGCTTTCATTAACACTTACGAGCTTAAGAAAACACGGTCGCGTGGCGCTTCTGTTATCTCTTCGTAAGCACCGATTATCACGTAGTAGGACCGGAGGCGTCAGTAAATATACAATGAAGAACACGTGACAGTTTACGTGTTGCACATATGTTGCCTGTAATTGTAAGGCGAGAATTTTTTGAGATATTTCGGGAAATATCAATATGTTTTTTAGCATTCTTTTGATTATCAATTTGAAATTCACTGTTCATATTTATCACAAAATCTATATAAAATATTATGTAGTTTGTGCATTTGTATATATATTTACATTTTTGTTACGTAAGTGTAAACATTGTTAGAAAAATAACTATTTATTATTGTTTATATCAAAATAAAGAATTTTATTATTTAAAAAAACAAAACTCTTTGAGAATCTATTTGTTTGTTTTTAATAGACTGACAATTTCTTTAATACATGTTATGAGATTATGTAATAAATAATAATATAATAATAGTATAAGAGAACAATTTTTTTTCGTGAAATTGATAATTTATATCGCATCTTCAAAATGATCCTTGATGTCATTGACAGTTAAAAGTATATTCCAATAAATCGATATATTTATAAAAATAAGATACAAAAAGTATATATTCAATATAACATATATAGATATATAGATTTTGATAAAAGAAAAATTTGTATAAAAAAAATGCATCAGAAGATTAATCATAATACTTTTTGAATGGATAACATAAAACATTCTAAAGTCAATATAAGCTTGATAATGTTTAACTGTTGTAAGAATGTGTTGTATCATATGAATAAAGACTCGTGGAAAATCAGTATTTAATGTTTGTTAATATACTTAGGGCATTATAAAAACAAAGTCGCGTGATACGACTTGTTATCGCTTTGTAAATATTGCTTATCAGAAAAAGCTTAACCAGAACCATCAGATTGTAAAAAAGTTCTTTACATCACTCTTACTCATCGTGATCACGCTAATTTCAAATTTACATAAATGTCAGTGAGTTAATTCATGATTTAATATATTATATCAAATAAAAGCAATGTGAACGCTCTTGAAAGATCTTTCCGATAAATTCCTATTTGCGACTGACGACAAGTTAATTTATATCGCCTATGCATATAACAAATCAATGAAAAAAGAAAATTAAAAATAATTCCTTTCATATTTCCTTATAGAGAAATTTTATCCTGCAAAATTAAACTTTAAGTAATATTCACTGCAAAAGGAATTATCCACGATGATATCTAATCCTGTAAATCAAAGGAAATAGAGGCGTTTATTATAAGCGGTTGGAGATAAAAAAAAATAAAAAAAAATAAAATTTTCGGCATCTGCCCAGCAGTTTCTGCTCGTTCGCGCGAGTGATTAGATCGAGAGCGTCGCATCCGCGCAAACCAACTGCTGCAATGTCATAAGCGATGGTGTATAACGCAACAGATGCACGATATTTACATAATACGTCGCTGTTCCTGTTGCCACACCCGCACGAACAGCTGCGCATGAATCCTTTTTTCTTCTTTTGTCCCTTGGCCATGTTCGTTATGATATGTTTTGCTCTCTCGAAAATAGGTGTAACAACGTGCGGCAGCGCAAAATTCGCTTGGTGCTCTCTTTCCTCTGGAGGAAACGTTCCGTATCCTCGAGCGTCGTTAACGCACTGATGCACTATCGCGATGCAGCGTCTGATAGGCCGTCCGGAACTTCGTATGCAATGCGTGCACTCGATATGCAGGTGGCATATACCGAATGGAATTATTATCAGTCTTAGTTTCGGTCGATTATAGAGCGATTTGAAGAGCAATCACGTGGATTATCTTTTCTTCAGGGAACTGTTGATGTGTCTTTCAACTCGTTCCTTCGTTTCTCATCCCACGTGTAAACGGCTTATCGAATAGGCCGTGGTTCTTTACATTAAATATCGCACTGTGGCTCCCGGTTGATAGGCGGCGACTAAGCATTCACCCTATTAGATTCAATTCGTTTAATTGCATTAAGCACGCGCGCTGAATATGCTGAATACTTCCTTTATTTTCGCTCGCGCGCTCGGCAGCGGCGATCGATGTGGGGTCAGGAACAGCGACTGCTCGAGAAGATTAATACAAGTTCGACCGGCACTAGGAGAACTAGCTCGCTAGGAACGTGACCTCATTCCGTGAATCACCAATTTTATAATAGTAACTACTTTTGAGCTTTTCCTACTACTTTATTTACCGCACGACTATCCACTGGAGCTTTTCGTCGCACCAACGAAAGAACAACGAAAACACGCAAGGATATTTTATTAGATGATTTGCGTGATGAAATCGCAATAACACAGTAGATAAAATCAAGTTATAGTGTAGATGTCACGAAGATGTTTCGCTTAGGTCAAAGTTCATCCTGCAGTAGGTCTGCCGCGAGCGCGAAATAATCGAAATCGATCGAATTATTTGTTATTTGTTATGGCTGGTTTTTTTTCATTCAATAATATAATAAATTTTTTATTCGATTATAATATATATAACTGCAGATAATAAAATAAATTTCATAACTTAAGCAATTAACGATTCGACAAAGAGTTTAAATAATTCATTTGTTTTATTAAAAGAATCCTTTATAATTTGTCAAATTTATATACCACAGTGTTATTTCGCGAGCATCGCTAATTATGATCCGTTTAAAGTGCACTCGAATGAGCTAGTTTACACGAGTTTGTTTATATCTGTTTATACGAAATGCGTATACGTTTCTAATTGCACATTTTATCTTTTTTTTTTTGTTTCTCTTAATCGATGGCCGCTGCGCGCGTATAGTGTTATATAAATTTGAGATTATTTCGGTCCGGTATCGTGTATTTGGCGGCATGCCAGGGGTTGAACTAACTGCACTAATAACGTGGCACGATACGCATACTGGCTGTTGCATAACAGGTAGCCGAAGTGGAGGGCAGTATGTAATAGATACAACTATGACGACGACGACGACGACGACAAAGCGCGTTGGTCGGTTATTGGTATAATGATCGCACAGTTCATTATTATGTAAATTGCATTTACAGCGGTAGAAGCACGCCCTATTTCAACGCTGTTATAAAGTATATAAAGTTGCATCGGTGCAACGGGAACGAATCTCTCCCGTAGCATTGAATTCGTGGACCTCCTATTTTTGAGATCGTCACAAACGAAGATTACATCGACGCAACGACTCGGTGCATTCATATTTTGCAAATGTGTGTTTTCGCGTAAAAAAACTCAGGTGAAATATCTAAGAATATAGTTTATCAGATCGTGTGCGAAAAGACAGAAAGATTTGTTTCTTGAAAACAAATTATCTCTTATTTTTAAAACAAATTTGCTTTGTGTAATCTCTAAAGTTTGCTTGTAAATGTCATCTTGGTGTAAAATTATCAAATTTTTATTATTTAGATCATCTCACGTTCTATAATATCTTATTTATGGCAGCAAATGCTCCGTTAATCTTTATTTTTTTAAAGCATTTGCTTCATTTTCTTCGTGGATTCCATTTTTTGCTGAATAGAGCTATAAGTAATAAAAGAATGTTGTAGGATAATGATAATGATCATATAAGTGATACGCACGTTGCTTTTTATAAATAAGATTGTGTTGATTTCGCTGAAAATGTGGCTAAATAATAGTATATATGTAATCGTAAAGTATTCTAACGATTGCACAATATCGGAGCAAATCAGATCAAAATATCCTATTTGTTATAGAGATAAAAAATCGCCTGTGTTTAGATCTAAATTTGTTTAAGAAAAAGAAAATCTTGAACAAATGCAATAAATATAGTGCATCTAAGCACATTCTTGCATAAAGTTTAAAAGAAAAATTTTTCGAAAGCTTTACTTAAAATAATAAAATGCGATTATTATAACAATTTAAACGACGCCTTTTCCTATTAATAGAAACTTTTCAATTTTATGGATAAGATATACAATTAATAATCATAGTATGATTTGTATTTAGAATACAACTTGCTACGTCGATTGATAGAATTTAGTATACTATAATGCACTGCTATGATCAAAAATAAACAATTCTTGGAGAGGACAATAGGAAGACGAATGAAACAATAAATATGATAGAAATAGCGGGCGAGGGATGGTTATGTCTGTGCGTGTCTCTGTATGCAAATTTGATGTATGAAAATTCGAATAAATCGAAATGTACATGAAATATACATGAACGAATGGAGCATAATTCTCGCTTTTTTACGAGAGATACGGATATGTAAATTTTGCCAATGAAATAATAATGATAACGGTACTACTTTCGACGTTATATGACACCGTAATGTTACGATGGTTTAATCGTCAAAAATAACGAAGCAGCTACTGCATCTCCAGAAGAGAGAATGACAATCAGATGTGTTATCTAATGTATTACGTTGTTCGAAACAATGCTAGAGTATGTATGTATGTATATTTGCCGCAGTGGTCTTCCGCGTTAAACGCGTGATAGAGAAAGAAAAAGAGAGAAAAAGTGAGAAACAGAGTACAGACAACTTACGGGTATAGGTCATTTGGCCCTGGTAGTAAGAGGGAAGGTACACGTGTTGCGCGTGCGGAGGCTGCCCGTACACATTCATGGCTGCCGTGCCGATTTCATCACCACCTACATACATCGTATACGCCGTCGAGATAAGGTCATGGTTTCATCAGAACGCTAATTTCGCACCATATACACTGTTTTTCTAAATTTCGCTCTGTCTATCACTGGGTTGTTAATGTTTAAAAATACTTAATCGCGTAATGCTAAAACGTGCGGAATCGAGAATGAGATGCGCGTGTGATTCTAGCTTTTTAATTAAGTAAACTGGGAATATCACTAGATTACAAACCGGCATCAACTACTTCTCTGTTGATAGCTAGCGTACTACAAATATGTCTTTCTATGGATCAACTTAAGTATAGATAACTCTGAGATAAAAGTGGGGGCTTATTTAAATGTCCCTATTATTGGAAATGAACTGCCGCGCTAAAATAAATAAAGTTTAGTAAGAAATTTCTAAATCTGCGAATTATTTAGATATACTTATATTAGAAAAAATTAGTACAAATCTTTTAATTTCACATATTTAACATCTGGAGATATAAAATCTTGTTTTATTAAAATAATGTTAGTAATGCCAAATTCTCTGCTCTTGTTAGAAATAACTTTAAATTTTATATTGTTAATATATTTTATGATTACCTATTTTAATTTTGGAAAAGATCTAATATACAACAACCCAGTGAGTATCTGCTAAATGCATGCTTTTGCAAAATGAAGGTAATGCAACAATCAAGCAAATAATAGTTCCATTTAGCATTTTGATATTCATTTTGTAGCTTTAACAAAGATAAAGAACTAAAAACCTAGACCTTTAACAAATAAAACTAATTTAAGATTCGCGTTTGTTTTCATTTATTCTTGTTATTTTGTGTAGTTTAATATCGCTGTGATATATGGATCAGGAAAGGATACGAGTTCCTATCAAAAAGTTGAGTTTCACATGCTAATAGTATTTGTGTCATGCAACGCGCAACAAAAATGGTTTCTACTACTAATTTAGTATTTCTATCTAATCTTCATGTACAATATGTAAATAGAGGACGAAAATTGTATATCTATCTACCTATTAATATATATTAATATTTGTAAATACTACTTTTTTTTTATATTTTCATTTTTTCTCCATGCAATAATTTATCATCAATTTTGTTTAATCCTGACGTGCAATTGTTGTATCTACAAAAGCCTATGTCTCCATTTTGAAATCTATCCTATTTCGTCTATATATGTCGCGATAATTCGCTGCGATAACAATCTATATGCAGAAAGTATTTTGCCTTAAAGACTAAAAGAATTTATTAAATATTTTTATATATACGCGTTATATTAGCTAAAATAAAAGCATTGTTGTAATATTCAACTTTCAATTTCTCTTATATATATTATTCCTGCATTATTTTAATGCTTAATGCAAGACAAAATAGTTATTTAAAGCGATAAGCTATCAAAATACATGTTTACAAATGTTATTGCGATATCAGAAACAATTTTTTTTTTTTTTAAACGGCAATAGTAACATATGATCAAGATCACTTGTTGCATTTTTTAATGATAGCTTGTTTTTTCCAATATCGCAAATCTGTTTGTCAATAAATTAGCAGCAAATAGACATAATAAGCAGCAATAATAAAAGAATAATTAATGTTTCTACGATATCAAACATGAGTACTCACCCCCTTCGTCTTCGCTGTCACTCATAAATGTCTCCTGCATGGATTCGGGTGCTTGAACTCTGTATTTTTCTTCAATGGTAACAGTATGAGTTGTTGTAATGATAGTCTCTGTCACAACTTTTAATGTTTCAATGACGCTAATATAACCAAGCTTTTGTGCAATATCCAGAGCAGTCTGTCCATTCTGTGTAAAAAATATTTTATATTGAGTGTATGATTATAATACTCTGATAGTATTCAATGTAAAATTTTAAAACTCGATAAAATAAAACTTACGTTAGTTACAGCATTCGGTTTAGCTTTACTCTCCAATAGCAAATTAATGACAAGCGTATGTCCTTGTTGCGCTGCTTGGTGAAGAGGTGTATAGCCAGCATTGGTGCTGCTGTCAACAGCAGCACCAGATCTCAGGAGAAATCGTACCATGGCTGCTTGACCAAAATGAGATGCCACATGCAATGGCGTATATCCAGCCTAAAAAAAAATATATAATTAATCAGTGAATATATACAATTTAGTTTTGTAATACATCAATGAAAAAAGAACTTATCATATAATTTAATTTAATTTAAAATACTTTATGAATTCTTTTACTTATATAATTTAATGCATCTTATTTTTTTATCAATACGTTAAGAGCAACAGCAGTCATATTACTGCATTATAGCATGTAGGTAGATGGTATTTCAAAGTTGTGTTATCAATGAATATATAGAGAAATAGAACATACAGTCACTATTGAAGAAATTATATCATCTGTGATAATTTAATTATGTATAAAGTGCTAATAATGTAATTAAAGACACAATCATAGTCATTAATATTACTACATTCGTAATGCGTATTCGCTCGTAACGTGCATAAATTGGAGAAATTTTATCAATTATATTACCTTAGTTTTAGCATCAATCTGAGCGCCATTCTTCACGAGAATAGAGGCGACGTTCACTTTATCTTCTTGTGCGCATAAATGTAGAGGTGTAAGGCCATTCTGTAAAATATATAAATAACATACAAGGTTTTTTATAAATAAACAATAGTTAAAATTATATCGAGCTCCTCTTTTACCCACCTTTGCTTTGTGATTCGTATCTGCTTTATGTTCGATAAGAAGGGTTGACATATCAGTATGGCCTTCTTGTGCACTTAAATGTAACGGCGTAAAACCAGCCTTTGATTCTGCATTAGCTTTTGCACCATACTCTAGCAATGTGGTTGCAATGTCCATCTAACATAAATAAACAATTTGATGTGCCATTACACAATTACTAATTCATAATCCAAATTATAAATGTGTAATTGTACCTGATTTTTGCGTGCAGCGATATGCAAAGGTGTATGGCCATTTTTAGCCATAGCATGGGGAGAAGCTCCTTTATCGAGTAAAAGTAAAGCTACGTTCTGATGATCGTAATGAGATGCTACATGAAGAGGCGTTACTCCATTCTGCAATTAAAAATATATTTATTAAAGAGTTATAAAATACTATTAAACATATAAAATAATGTGTAGCGTGATATATATATATTTTTATATTAATTAAATTTTATTTTAAATGCTAAACTTAAAGAGAGAAAAGAATACATACTTTTCCCTGAGCGTCAACAGGTGCGTTCTTTTGTAATAACAGTCGAGCTACATTCATATTGCCGTATTTGGCCGCTAAATGCAAAGGAGTAAATCCTTTCTTGGTCGTTGCAGTAAGCGATGCACTATTTTCTAATAAAACGGATGCAACCTATGTGATAATAGAAAAATGTTATAAAATATATATCATTATATGTATAATATTTATAATTTTACCTCCTCTTGGCCTTCTTTAGCAGCGATATGAAGCGGAGTATATAAATCCTTCGTTGTTGCATCTACGCCCGCGCCATGCTGCAGTAGTAACATCACAATATCGACGTTACCCAAACGAGAAGCGACGTGAAGAGGTGTCTGTTCCTCCTACAAATAAATCGCGCGCGCGCGAACACACTTCTTTATATCTATACTATTAAATAATAAATTCATCTTCTCAATAACTCAAAATTATTCGTATTAGTTATTATTGTAATAAAGGTACTTACTCTTGCTCTGGCGTCGACTTGGGCGCCATTCCTAAGAAGTATCCTAATAATATCAGTTTGGTTCGCCCTGGCAGCTAAATGTAATGGCGTTTCACCTCTTACTGTCGGTATATCGGGGCTAGCTTCATGTTGTAATAAATAAATCACAATATTCATACACCCCATAAAACTCGCTACGTGTAATGGGGTTAATCCAGACTGTAAAAAAACATATATATGATATTGTTATCTTATGAATGTATTGAATAATGTGAAAAAAAAAAACTTAAAAATTGCCCACCTCAGTCGTAGCTTCGATGCTTGCTTTGTGCTTCAGGAGGAGTTCGACCACTTTTATACGATTTTTCTTACACGCGATATGAAGAGGAGTAAATCCGTTGAGCGCTCGCGCATTGGGATCGGCATTTCTATCGAGAAGTAGTTTAGCTACGCGTACGTGACCGCAGTGTGCAGCTACATGCAGAGCGGTCAAATAGTCCACCGTCACTTCGTCCACGGGTGCACGGTGATACAATAAAATTCTCGCGGCATCGACGTGATCTCCTTGAGAAGCCATGTGTAACGGGGCAAGACCGTTCTGTCAACAGAAGCCAAGTAGTATTTCGACAAATGTTGAGAAATTTCTCATTTGCGAGACATATGCATTTGATTATCGTTACCTTCGTTTTTGAACCTATGGGGGCCCCTTTCTCGATGAGAATGTCGACTACCTCATGATGGCCAGATCTGGCCGCACAGTGCAGAGGAGTTAAACCATCTCTCGTTTTTGCTTCGATGTTTGCTCCCTTGCTCATGAGGAGATTAACCATCTTAATCTTGCCCCATTTCGCTGCCACATGCATTGGTGTGATATTATGCTATAATGAAAGAGAGAATATATTGTGTTTAAAAAATATGCAAATAATTCTATTTTAAATTCTCTTGTCCTACAAAATATATACCTTTGCTGCGAAATTAACATCCGCACCTCTATCGTATAGCAAGGAAGCGATTCGGTCGTTGCCATAATGTGCGGCTATGTGAAGCGGAGTGAAACCGCTTTTCGATGTTACATCGGGATTATGGTCGTTCTATAACAAGAGGAAAATTGGAGAAATTATGCCGTAAAAACTATATATATGATTTCTACTTATTATTATAACAAATACTAGTCGCGACTGACACAGGACGTAACAATAACTTACTTGCAAAAGTAGAGCAGCCGCCTTGCAGTCGTCTTTCTTAGCGGCGATGTGTAGAGCAGGCAGTCGAACTTTACCACGAGTGTCGTTTTCTAATAGAACAGCCACTACCTTGTCGTGACCCTGTTGCATAGCTACCGCTAATGGTGTAAAACCGTCCTATAAAAAGAGAAACATGCACATATTCAAGTATCAATAAAAGAGAAATAGATATTAACAAATTATTAAATAATAATTTAGCTTTGAACATATGTATGAAACATATTAGATTTAATAAATGATAAAATATTAAAAAATTTAACAACGATAGAAAATACCAAAAATGAAATATTTGACACAAACCTCGGTGGCTAATGTTTGATTCGCACCCTTGCTGAGAAGGTACTTGACCACGGAGTCGTGGTTTTCCTGGGCAGCCATGTACAGCGGCGTGAACCCATTTTGCGATTGTGCATTAACCGAAGCATTTCGTTGCACCAACAATTGTACAACCTCTTCTTGTCCAGCTGAAAGAGGGTATCGATGTCACGCGAATAATATTCATCTCACAATATCATTTTGCGACGCGAGAGCTTGTAAGACACGTGAAATAAATGTTTATTTAAAATCACTCGCGTCCTTGTCCTATATGCATTTAATGAGTGACGAGACATGAGGCCTGCGCGAGAAGGGACAAGATGAGAAGAGGATGAGAATAATGTGCTCGCTCACCGAGAGAAGCTATGTGCAATGCCGTGTTTCCCTTTTTGGTAGCGGCGTCCACAACTGCGCCGCGATTTAAGAGTTCTCTCACGATTTCCAAGTGGCCGTCTTTAGCTGCCAGATGCAAAGCGTTTAAGCCATTCTATAATATATAAATAAATATAAATATATATAAAACGCATATTTTTCGAAATTTAGGCAGTACATTGTTATATAAAATCTAAAAAGATGATAGATTGATGGAACTTACAGCGTTAGAAGCATTGATATCTACTCCAGATTCCAAATATTCCAAGACCTTTTCGAGTTGCCCAGCTCGAGCTGCCCGCAAAAATGCAGTACTGGGATCGCTCTGAAAATAACGATAAAATATTTCATTATATATTTGAGAGCAAGATAACATCAGATGAAATTTAACCTTCATCATTCTTTCCTTCCAGATTTGTATCTTCGTTCTTTATATATCTGTATTTTTTTCTGTGCTAAATTGGCTAAATTTAAACGCATTTGACATCAGAACCACATGTATGAGGCAAATATCGGTCGAATTAATATCCGTTTAAAATATTTTTGTGCAACTAGCTCGATTCTTTTTTTCTCTCAAGTCACGTTTGATACGTGCTGCTGCTAATCGGCCATCCCGTTTCCCTTTGTATAACTAACAATTCCAAGTGGAACAGTATTCTAGCGAGAAACTTGTTTGTAAATTCCATTCTTTTCAAAATTGTATGTTTGTAGAAGAAAATTTAAAAAGGATCTAATAGTCAATTAATTTGGCAAACAGATAGGTATTATTGTGATTTCGCAAAAAGAGAAGATCTCAAATAATTATTGTAATTGATATAAATAAAACGTCCAATATTATCCTCAGCTATGTCTATTTTTGGTCCAATCGCTTTATCAATCATGTTTAATAAAATCGACATTAATTCCAGAGAGTAGGTCGTGTTGACCGGCTTATTTCAGATCACATCGTGGGTTAGTAATTAACTATAGATTTAGAGCATGGGGCGCCGTACTGTCTGTAACAAGAGGTGACGGAAATTCAGTTCTCTCTCTGTCAGTTACCCGATCTCTCTCCCTCAGTTCGACCCCTTCTCTCTCTTCCGACTGAGCGGGTATATATCCTGTGTCGTTGTAATTGGTTCTACAGGGTCGATCAACCACCGGATGTGCCTTTTAACCGTAGTTTTTTTTACTAATGTTGGTAGTTATTATTTATCACTCATTTTTCAAAATTCTTTATATATACTATATATTTACAGAACTACATTTTTTAAATTAAAATTTTATTGAAGTATCATAGACCATTGGAAATTGATTAAAGAATGTGATTTTGTCATTTATCTTCTCGCTTTTAAAGTTTAATTTGCCAGAGATCCTTTGCTTTTAATTGCTCGAAAATTATGTGGCTAAACATTTTCAATAAAGAAAAGATTAATTTTAAATTGCTCAAAAAATCTAAGTGAAAAAGAACAACCGATGGTTTTGAAATTATCCTGTATAAGTTAAGATACTATTTGACTAATCTGTACTGGATAAAAGCCAAGTGAAGCTCGAGTACGAGCCGAGTCAATGGATTTAATTAAAGCAATTGCACATTCTCTCTTCTCACGCAGAAAACAATAAATATCGAGATTGATAATCTCCAATTAATCTGTAACTTAGTAAATATCCTAGAAATATATTCGGTTGCAGAAATTATGCATTAATGTGACAAACACAAATATAATTACTAAAGTTTCATAGTTAAAGTTATAAAATGCAGAACAAGGGAATAATCCATTAACTAAAGTTTTAAAAAACAATGTCGCTTTCTATAGTTTAAATTTATATGGATTAATATTATCAAGATAATCCTTAGCTATTTAAATATTTCATATTAAAAGTATAAGATTTATTAAACAATTCAGAAAGATAGACTTATGCCGCTTTGCTTTTTACGATATTAATTTATTAAGTATAAAAATGTACAATATTTTGTTATGTTGGATGGTTTGCGATCGTTATATAAAATATTGCGTGCAGAAATGATGCAAATTGTATAGCTAATTGTAAGATGATGGAAGGTGAAACTACTATAGCGTACTTCAGTTGTGGGTGGTTTTGTCGAGAAGGAACGTTTTATCGTCATGCGCTCAAAGTACAACCTAGCGATAAATCGATAGTCAGTTCCTTGCTGCTCTTGCGCTTACATGCGACATTTTCCATTGTTTTTTGTTAATATCGAGCGTAATTTGTACATAACTAAAATAATCATCATAATTTTTCTATCATAAATACATGCTCAAAATAGCGAGATGATTATTTCCTTAAAAATAATAATCGATTATTTATAATAGACCTCAGTTTTAAAAATTTATCTTATTAATTTCCACGATCAAGCAGAAATTAGAGATGTGAATAGAGTTTGTGTCGCAGTAATCATTATCGCGTCCAATCATATCGCATACAACTTTTATATGATCGTGTTCTCTAGTTACCAAAATAAAAAATTATTCGTGTCAGCTTTATTTTTGCTGCACACAGATACAAGTGCGGATCAACTGTGTGAAAACTGACGTGTTGCACCGGTTTGTCAGTGTAATATTTTTCTAAATGGTCAACAGATACCGTATAAATAAACTTCCGCTGTATTCATAGTGCGATGTATACTTGATTCATACTGGAGAAAACATATCCGAACGAAATGTATAATACATGCTTTACCCCTTCGTATGTTTAAATGTATTGGAAAGTTTTCTGAATCAAAATTATTACGGAACGAGGAAAACGAAGAAGGAATAGTTCTCTCAAGTTTTGCGATTTGATTTTCGCGTATCATTAAATCATCCAATAAATAACATGACTGTTTAAAGCTAAACAAAAAATAAAAAAAAGAATATTAAATATATTAAGATCATTATTCGTAGTATTTAGATATTTAATATATCTCATCAACAATATTAATTATTATCTTATTATACCTTATTATTCGGTATATTATCTACTTAAGATAAAACATATTATTTATAGAATAATTCATAAAAATTTTGCGAACTATGCAAGACCGCAAATTTGTGACAACCTCATATACAATAGAGAGAAAATATATACTGTATTTAATTCATTCATTAGTATGCAGAGGCTGACGAACGTGTTCACACGGATACATGCTAGTATGTATTGCGAATGCAAGGAATTTTCTGTTTCACGTGGACTACTCCGGCAAGTCTTAAATAATTCAGTAGACCGTTAGTTCCTCATGTTGAGATATCCCTTTCCGCGTCCGCTTCCCCTCTCTTTTTCTTAGTAGTCTCTCACTTTCTTTTAAGAATTCCCACGTAGAAAAATAAGCGAGCATAGAAGAAAAAACTATAGCTATTGTATATATGTTTGTAGTAAAAATTATGGCACTTTTATTATTTCTTAAAATATTCTCAAAATATCAGTGAAATAATATTACACGCAATGAAAATATGTATTACTGCTCAAAAATAAAGCGCATAATATATGTAGTCAAGAAGATCTCAGCCTGTCAAACAAAAAATTTTTCGATTGCGCTTACTTTCTACGTAAACAACCGTAACAAAAGGGTAGATTCCATTTACAGAGCGTGTAATGCGAATCGACATACTTTTCCTTAAAAAGTATAAATTAAGTGGAAACCTGCATTCGCACAAAAACAGCGCACGTCACTCTCAGTAATTGAAAGTAGTCGATAAAGTGTACGCGAATAAAATGTCTCGTGAGCCTCTTTATTCAATAAGTTCACAATTAACTGTCAACAAGTGCAACTGTAAATAAATATCTATCGAAATTTATGGTTCAAAATTATCCTCGTGTATGCGACAAATGCACTATAGATATTTCTTCGCTATTACGGAAGGCTTCTTCGAGACGCGCAAATGCCACTTAAAGAGTTGTTGCGTGCATACTTAAAGTGCTTTAAGAAGGTCAATTGTACGTCAATTATGTAACATAACTGATAACTTTATTACGATTTATTACGATAATACATTGAAACATATAATAAAAAAATAATATATCATTTTATAATATAATATTTATTTGTAAGTCTAAAATGTGTGAATTAACTCACTGAAATGTGTTTGATTTTTCTGTGCAATTAATTACAAATATTATATAAGAAACATTTAAAATTATTTAGTTATTATGTAATTATGATAAATTTTAAAAGATAAAGAAAAGATCGTAGAATACAAGATACAAAATTCGAGGCAACTTTAATATTCTTGCTTTTATCAGCGATATAATTAAATAATAAAGTTTTTAAATACACCAGCGAACACATTTTATTTTTTTACCGCGGATGGTCTAAAGTTGCAGTTTTCCACGGATAGACTTTAGCATAAACGTTTCAACGATCTCTGCGGTTTTCTCGGTGATTCAAACTGAGGAACTCGTTCCCAGTAACTATACGCAAGTATACTCACTTCACTTGCTGTCTAGGCAGGGATGCTTTAAGGGCTTCCGGGGCCCCTTAGGGAGCGTGAAAGAAGTCGCTAAACATAGAACGCGCAGACTACGACGTCACCGAGAGAGAAACCGCGCGCTATCAACTCCCGTGGCAATTTATAACGCATGAATTTATTTCGAACGTTTAAAAAAAAAACACGCTGCATCACGATATATCGGCGCGAATTATTTATAGTCGCAATTTATAACAGATCTTCCTTTCCGTGACTGCGACATCGGGGAGATCATTAAAGTCGCATTTTCACATAAGAAAGGATCGAAATACCGAGATGGAAGTATGTTCTAAGCAAAGCGAATGTCACAATGATCCTGCACGTAAACCAACTGTAACGAGAAAAGGCGGGGAATAATTTAACAGATAACTCGAGACTTGGGTCATTAACCGAGTAATAGCACGATCGTGCACACGTAGGCCATGACAAAGTTTAGAATTTAGTGGCTGTTAACGTTATATTCTCGATTGTTGTCGATCCAAGAGTCCGTTCTCCTTTTTTTTTGCGTCATATCCTTGACGCAAAGCGACAGAGTATGTACTTCCGGCTTGTGACAATAGCTCCATGAGCTCTAGTGTTCGCCGTTTATTCACCAGAGGTACGATAAAAGCGTTCTCTTCTATACTCGTCCTTTATCAGATGCAACTTTGAGATGCGACAAGTACTACTACATCGGTTGTAATGATTGTAATGGCTATGCGGACGCCTGCAATTTCTGGCGGTGCATCGAGCTAACTATAGCCACACCATGCGCCAAACTAATGAACAGCCATAGAATGCGTTCGAACGCGGCCGCAACAGTTTCGTTCTCACAAAAGAAAAGCAGGAATTGGCACTCGCAATCATCTACGTGATAAAAGAGATTGTATATGCTCGTCAA